CGACTTGAGCACATTCCACACTCAAGCCATACGCTCCATACACTTCCTATGCATTAAGAATATCATGCAATATGTTATTTTGGTGGGTGCGTGTGTGAGTGAAAGTGTGACTGAGAGCGAAAAGGATAGTACCCGCACTCGCCACTTCTGCACCCACACCCAAGCCATGATCGAGTCCGAGACTAAAGAAGCCCGAGCCATGGCCGAGCTCGAGACTGACCGAGTCCCGATCCTCACAGAGCCCGAGCCATGATCGAGACTGAAAGAATTCGGGCTGTGGCCGAGGTCGAGACTGATCAAGTCCCGACCCTCGCCGAGCCCGAGACTGATCGAGCTCGAACCCGAGACTGACAGTGCCCGAGTCGTGACCGAGCTCGAGACTGATCGAGTCCCGGCCCTCACCAAGTCCAAGCCATGATCGAGCCCGAGACCGAAAGAGTACGAACCGTGGCCAAGCTCAAGGCTGATCGCGTCCCGGCCCTTACCGAGCCGGAGACTAATCGAGCCTAAGACTGAAAGACCCCAGGATTAACGGAGCTCGAGCTCGAGAGTCTCAGTCAGGGCTTGGGCTCGGTACTTGTATAATGTCAATCACTTTTTTGAAATAAAATAATCAAAATCGGTAGCATGCATTCTATCAGTTTTCAGGAAACTTTTTCAATAGTTTCAACTTTCTGGCAAGTCTATAATGGGCACACTAGATGTAATGGCCAGAATGAGTATAATGTGCATACTAAAAATCTCAAGATGTGGGTGAAGGGTGACTGTAAAGAGCATAATGACTAGAATGGGCGTAAGGCGTATACTAGAAATTCGAAGGAGCGGGTGAAAGGCCAATGTAAAGAGCATAATGGTCAGAATGAGCACCCTCTTGAGGGTATGAATGTGGGTGAGTGTACTATGAATTAGATACGAAAGAGCAGAGATAAAAAGCCCCAAACTGCCGGAAAACTATATAAACCTTTTGCGTATGGTCACTTGCGATATTTCATATTTTCGCCTAATTGATATTTGATTTGAAATATTCAAATAATAGAATAGATTAATTTACTTGAAAGAAAATTCTAAAAGATGCTCAGCAAAGCAGTAAACTTATTGCTTTGATATCTGGTCTGGTTTAATAGTAGTTAATAATGAAAAATAGATAGCTGCTTTTCAGATGCCTTTTATATGGCCCACCGGTTCGTTGCTTCTGAGATCGCACGAACAAAAAGACCAAATAAATACAATAAAATTATCGTCCTAAAAGTATGAGTGATACCTCTAATGATCATTTTCCTATCTATTTTTTACAATTGTTTGCATGCCTTTGTTTTTTATTTTTTTTAAAATGTATCGAAAATAGTTCTCAATCCGATATATGTATGCTTTTGTAGAAACTTTTAAGCATCATCTTTTTATAAAAGGGTATTTTGGTTAAACAGATAATGAAGAAAAAATTTCGAAAATATTAAAAATATAATTTTTCATACGTACCTATTATATATTTATTCCGACAAGATTCATTTGATTTTAATCAGATTTAATATCTTGTTATATTGTTTTCAGAAGAACAAATGTGTCAGTAGTCATAAAGTACCATTTCAAAAATATGCAGCATATTAAAATCAGGTCCATGTTTGTCTCATTGTTTATTATTAATTGTCAGGCCGAAACATCAAGCAGTGAAAAATTGAGTGTTTTCTTTTTCTCTCTGATAATTGCAAGATGCATTAACTATGAAATCCAAGAATCATTGGAGATAACTTCCATTAACTGTTATCTATTCAATACACAAAATGCAAAATGCACTGAAAGTTTTTTTATTTGAATCTAAAAAATATCAACTATAAAATGTCCCCAGAGCCAGAGGCAATTCTAACGAACAAAATATATATATAATATAAAAAAACAACCATGACTGATCAATATTTTATTTTTTATACAATAAATCAACCATAAAATGTCCGCAGAGTTGGAGGTAATTCTCATTAACAAAATATTTATGTAACTTGGAAAAAATAAGCATGACTGATTGTTATTTTATTTTTTTATATAATAAATCAACCATAAAATGCTCAGGTGACTACACGTATGGCTAATTAGCAAAATATTTATGCGATATAGAAAAAAGAATAATGACTGATCGTTATTTTATTTTTTATACAATAAATCAAATATAAAATATATGCGAGACTGGAGATATTTCTAATTAACATAATATGTATGTACTTTAATGAAAACAAAAAGGACTGATCGTTATTTTATTTTTTTTATAAAATAAATCAACCATGAAACGCAAGAATACTTGAAGGTAAATATAATTAACAAAAATTGATGTGATATACAGAACGCAAAAATGACGGAGCATTATTTTATTTGATCAAAAGCTGTACGAGCTATACAACGCAAGAACGACTGTAAGTATAAATAAGATGATATATACATACGTAAAACGGGTACTAAAAATGATCATTGATCTACAAGAAATTTTAGTTGTTTTATATGCAGAAAAATAAATCACTTAGAATGTCCAATTTTTGCCATATCATAACCTATTCTATTCAATGTTCATAGAAAAAAAAGCTTAACTTGAAATTTCTGTCTGTTCAGTTTTTCTTTAGAAAATCATATATACCCTGCCAGTTTTTTTCTTGTTTCAAAATTGATCAGTTATTTTTCGTTACGATGCTCTTCGTATGTCTTCTAAGTTAAATCTTTTTTAAATAGTACACTATTGGCCATAAATCAAGGGATGTGCGATACTCCCAATGGCTCTGATAATTTTCGATTAAATTTTCAACACGAATAGGCCTTTAAAAACTGTGATTGGCACCACTGATTCGAACTCTATTGACTGAGAGAGTATGGAGTTATGATTAAAACACTAGTTTCATCTTTGTTTACCTATAAATCAATATTTACAGTTTTTATGAAAACCAATCAAAATTATTTCTTACCTTGTTAATGCTGATCGACTTTTTTCCCAAGCTGCCTGTATTGAACTTGCGTTTCATACGGAGCTGTAAAGTAAAAACTGTAAAGATTGGTTTACAGATAAACAGACTTGAAACCAGCGTTTTAATCATACCTCCATACTATCTCACCCAATCGGTCTTGGATCAGTGCTAGCGATCACAGTTTACGAACCTCTATCTGTGGTAAAAGCTTCATTGAAAAGATCGGAGCTGTGAAGAGTATCACATTCAGTGAATTATGATCAGCACTGTATATTATTTTAGAATGCAACTTTTTCTCTGCAGAATAACAAATTTTTATTGCACCTCCTTTATTAAAGCCCAAGAAAGCAAAAAAGCCTTCTTTTAAACTTAATTTGTCAAGTACTATGGATCCGTCCGGAGCCACTCGAAGCTCAGCCCTCCGAATCAACGCTTAAGCCTTATCTAGCGAAATTTCTCATAATTCTATTTTATTCACTGAGAGGAGAGGGGAATCAACATCCTTTATAATGGGTTCCCTCAACTTACTGATTCGGACTCAAGCTCGACGAATAAGCTTGATTAGCTCAGTGGCTCGAACTCGAGCTCGATAAATACGTTTAGTTAGCTGAGTGGCTCGTCCTCGAGCTCCATTAATGCATTTGGTTAGCTTACTGACTCGGACTCGATCAATGCGTTTTGTTAGCTTAGTGACTTGGGCTCGTGCTCGATGAATGGGTTTGGTTAGCTTCGTGGCTCCGGCTCAGGCTGGAGCTGAGGTTCGGACCGATTAATGCATTTGATTAGCTTAGTGGTTCGGGCTCGGACTCGAGCTCGATCAATGTATTGGGTTAGCTTAACGACTCGGGCTCCAGCTTGATCAATGCATTTGGTTGGCCGAGTGGCTCGGGTTCGGACACAAATAGTGCATTCGTTTAGCTTCATGGCTCGAATTCGATGAATGGGTTAGATTAGCTTAGTGGCTCGGGCTCAAGCTCGATGAATAGATTTAGTTAGCTCAGTGGCTCGGACTCGATTAATAGATCCGATTAGTTTAAGGGCTTTGGCTTTTCATGATATATATAATAATGTGGAAGAAATGAAAAGTTAATTGAAATTATGTATTAAAAGTTCACAAATAAAATGAAAAAAAGCTTTGGCGTCTATTTCATTTGATTATTTGTCGATGGTAATAAGTATTTACATAGTTTTCTTTTGTTTTAGAAATTTGTACACAACTTGCAATAATAGTCTATACGTGATAAACAGCAGTTACGACGGAAATTTCGTAATCGATCAAAAGGATATACAAAAACATCGGTGAATGGCGCAATCATCTGAGGAAGAGGTATGAAATACTTTGATCTATATGAAAAGTGCATTTTTCCCGTGGAAAACCGTAAACAGAATTTATTTACACGAATTTTCGTCGAAAAAGGAGAGATGTTTAATAATGTAATCATGTCACTAATGAAAAATTATTCATATATTCATGTAGTAGACATGTTTTTTCTTAAGAATTATCTCTTTATAGATAGAACCGTATCTTGTGGATGATGGTATTGAATCAAGCAATGGCTCGTTACATAACGAACTATTTTCGTTTCCAGATGTTATTGAAGAACAACGCATTCAGAATCCCCCAGTTACTCAAACAGTACCGAACAAGACTTCATCAGATTCGTATGTAAATGTTTTCATGTCAAGCATAATCCTTGTTGTTGTTTTTTATTAGGAAATGTTGGTTGTGCACAATGAGTGTACCACATACACTTATGTGTGCATTTTGTATATTTTCAGCTATGGTAATTCTCATTGGTACATTGATTATTTGTTTTACTACACCAAAACAAGGTATATTCTTCTTATTTAACATATTATTTATTCAAAATAAGATTGAATCTTTTAACAAATCTTATAAATTGTTGTACTATCGATATCGATGTACACAAAATAGATTATAAATCGAAAATGGAGTTATAATATTAAAAATAAAATAGAAGATGGAGAAGAGATCAATATTGAGAGTAAGGATAAATTTAGTCGTGGTTCTCATTCGCATCGTATTCATTTTTTTATGAAATGAAAATCGTCACATCATTGTTCTTACAATTTTTAGTTCAAAAGTGTGACTTTAACTTCATTCCAACGATTCCAAATCCAATCGAATACAAATATCATCCACGATCTGTTGCTATTGGTGATTTTAATAACGACACTTGGTTAGATATTGTTGTTGCCAATCATGCAGTCGACAATATAGCTGTACTTCTTGGGTATGGCAATGGTAATTTGGGAAGTTCAATCATTTATTCTACCGGTCTACATTCGACTCCGTATGCAGTAGCAACGCATGATATCAATAACGACCAATTACTTGATATTGCTGTTGCAAATTTTGGTACTAATAACGTTGGTATATTTTTGGGATCAGGAAATGCTAGCTTTCAAAGTCAAACAATATATTCAACTGGCTCATCTCGTCCATTGTACATCAGCTTCGCTTATTTAAATAATGATACAGCAATTGATATAGTTACAGCCAACTATGGTATTCACAGTGTGAGTGTATTTTATGGACATGGAGATGGAGTCTTTTCAAATCCTATCACGTACACAATGGGCTATGATTCTTTCCCGTATGGAGTCGTCTCTGGGGATTTTAACAACGACAATCACATGGATCTTGCTGTTGCCAATTATGGCACAAACAATGTTGCCGTGCTATTCGGAAATGGTAGCAACTATTTTATAGATCAAAAAATCTTTTCTACAGGCTTTGGTTCTCATCCATACTCGATCGTTGTTAATGATTTTAACCATGACAACTTTTTAGATATTGTTGTGGCTAATTATGGCATGAATAATATAGGTGTATTTTTGGGGTATGGTAATGGAACTTTTGCAAAACTAATAACATATTCAACGGGTACTTCTTCTCCATATTCTATTGCTATTGATGATCTTAATAAGGACAGTCAATTGGATTTAGTTGTCACGAATAAAGGCACTAATGATATATATGTATTTATTGGATATGGCAATGGTGTATTTGCAAACCCAATAGCGTATTCAACTGGATCTTCTTCTTCAGTTTCAGTAGCCATAGGAGATTTCAACAACGACAATACATTAGACGTCACCGTCATCCATAATGATACAAGTAGTATTGGTATTCTTCTTGGTTCTGACAATAGATTTCCAATTCAAACAGTATATTCATCTGGTGGTCAACCATTTTCGGTAGCTGTTTGTGATTTGGACGGCAACACCAAATTAGATCTCATTGTTGCTAATTATGATGACAATAATATAGGTGTGCTTTTCGGTTATGATAATGACTCTTTTGCAAATCAGATCACATTTTCAACTGGACTTAATCCATCTTTTGTAGCAGTTGATGATTTCAATAGAGATAATCAATGGGATATCGTCGTTACTAATTTTGGTGACAACACGATAAGTATACTTCTTGGATTTGGGAATGGTTCTTTTGTAGATCAAATGACGTATTCAACTGGTACTCAGCCATCTTCTATAGCTGTTTATGATATTAACAATGACAGTCAACAGGATATTATCGTTGTTAATTATGGGAACAACACTGTAAGTGTACTTTTAGGTGTTGGTAATGGCTCTTTTGCAAATCAAATGATGTATTCAACTGGTACTCAGCCATGGTCTCTAGCTGTTGGAGATTTCAATAATGATAACAGACTAGATATTGTCGTAAGTAATACTTTCGACACTACTATTAGTGTACTTCTTGGATTGGGCAATGGCTCATTTGAAAATCAAATCCAGTATTTGGTTGGCTCTGGAGCAGTCAGTGTAGTTGTTGCTGATTTCAATAATGACAGTCGATTGGATATTGTCGTCGCTAATTCGGGTAGCAATCTATTAAGCGTACTTTTGGGATATGGTGATGGGTCTTTTGCAGATCAAACCGTGTTTTTAACTGGCTTCTCTCCAAACGCTATAGTTGTTAATGATTTCAATAACGATACTCAATTGGATATTATTGTTGCTAATCATGGTGACAATACGGTGAGTGTACTCTTTGGGTATGGCAATGGTTCGTTTGCACCTCAAAAAGCATATTCAACGGGTTCTGGTCCAGGTGCTATAGCCGCTGGTAATTTCAATAATGATACCCGATTGGATATTGTTGTTACTAATCAAGGTGACAATACTGTTAGTGTCATGTTTAATTATAACGATGGAACTCTTCTCAACGAAATAACATTTGCATCTGGTGGAGGTTCTGATCTACAATATGTTGTTGTTGGTGATATCAACAATGACAATCTGTTGGATATCATCGTTGCTAATTATGGTACTCAAAGTATAGGTATTCTTCTCGGATATGGGAATACTACTTTTCAAAAACAGTTGATGCTCGCTGTGGGCTTAAATTCTTATCCTTATGCAATTACCATGGCCGATTTCAATAATGATAGTAAAGTGGATATTGCAGTAGCGAGTCATGGTAGTAACACTATTGGTATGTTTCTTGGGAATGGAAAAGGAGATTTTGTGCGTCAGGAAATTTATGGTGATGGTTCTGTTATTCCTCCGATAGTTATTACTGCAGGTGATTTCAACAACGATGGACAAGCAGAAGTTCTTGTCGCATACAATAATACTGATAATGTGGATGTATTTGTTACATATGATACAGGATCGTTCACTCCTCAACAGACATATTCAATTGGTACAGGACCCATCAATGTTGTTGTAATTGATATCAATAATGATAGCTGGTTAGATATCATTGTCGCCAATACAGGCGTTAATACTCTAAGTATACTTCTTGGATATGCCAATAACTCTTTTGGGCAACCACTATCATATGCAACTGGAACGAATCCATCTTCTGTAGTTGTTGGCGATATCAACAATGACGGCCGATTGGATATCGTCGTCACTAATACGAATGATAACACTATAAGTGTATTTCTTGGGTATGGCAATAGCTCCTTAACAAATCAAATGACGTATCCAACTGGCACTCTACCATATGCTGCAAAAATGGGCGATTTCAATAATGACAAGCAATTGGATATTGTTGTCGCTAACTTTGGCGATAACACGATAAGTGTACTTTTTGGCTATGGCAATGGCTCGTTTGCAAATCAAATCACATATTCAACTGGCTCTCAGCCGTATGCTACAGTTGTTAATGATTTCAATAATGATAGCCAACTAGATATTGTTGTCATTAATCCTGGTGATAACACTCTAAGTGTGTTTCTTGGATATCGTAATGGTTCCTTTGCAAATCAAATCACATATTCAACTGGTTCTCAGCCGTATGCTACAGTTGTTGATGATTTCAATAATGACAACCAATTGGATATCGTTGTCGTTAATTTTGGTGATAATAATATAAGTGTACTTTTAGGTGTTGGGAATGGCTCGTTTGCAAATCAAACAACATATTCAACTGGTTCTTCACCTAATGCTGTATCTGTTGGTGATTTTAACATGGACAAGAAATTGGATATTGCCGTTACTAATCAAATTGACAACACGGTTAGTATACTTTTAGGTATTGGTAATGGCTCTTTTGCAAAACAAACCATCTATTCAACTGGTACTTGGCCATGGTCTGTAGCTGTTGGAGATATTAATAAAGACAATCGGCCAGATATCATCGTTACTAATTTGTATGACGGCACTGCGAGTGTATTTCTCGGATATGCCAATAAAGCTTTTGTAAAACAACTCACGCTGATAACTGGAGATGGATCTCGTCCGAGATCTTTTGCTATTGGTGATTTTAACAAGGATCGTCATTTAGATTTTGCTGTAGCGAATTCTGGCACGAATAATATGGGCATTTTTCTCGGATATGGAAATGATTCTTTTGCAAATCAATTGACATATGCCACTGATTCTTCTCCATGGTCTATTGCTATTGGCAATTTCAATAATGATACACTCATTGATATTGCTGTCGCCAACTACGGTAACGACACGATTGCCGTATTTCTAGGATATGTTAATGGATCTTTTTCAAACCCAACGACGTTTAGCACTGGCTATGAATCTCAACCAAATGCAGTTACTGTTAGTGACTTCAACAATGACACCTTTCTGGACATCATCGTTGCTAATTATGGTAGCAGTAACGTTGGTATTTTCCTCGGAAACGGTAATGGATCATTTGCAAATGGAACGATTTTTTCAGTCGGTTATGGATCTCAGCCAATATTTGTTGTCATTGGTGATTTTAATAATGATAGGAAGATGGACTTCGCAACTGTCAATGAAGGTACTGACAATTTAGAAATTCTCTTACAAACTTGCTAAGACCGAAACTCACAATATGAAATTTTTTTGTTCCATTCTATTATCTATTTCTCTTCTATAATCATTGTCATTTTTAATTGTTTGCTTTTAGTTTCCTTCATTTTTTTAATTCTGTTTTTAAATAAAATGCATTCATATATTATAAACTTAGCACAATTAGTTACATATTTAATTAATAGAAGATGATATTGATAATTAATCAATTTTACCCATACCCTCAACTAATTCGGAATAGTAATTGTTGATATATATGTATATATATAAGAAACAAAAATTTGAAGAAGAATTGTTTGAAAATGAAGTTTATAAGAGAGATTAAGAACGATGATCTACGCTTACAGCCATACCACGTTGAATACACCAGTTCTCGTCCGATCACTGAAGTTAAGCAACGTCGGGCTTGGTTAGTACTTGGATGGGTGACCGCCTGGGAATACCGAGTGTCGTAAGCTTTTTATTCTATTTTTTTCTGATCTTTGAGACTATTGTAACGTTTATTCATTGAGATGACATATAGAAATTTTATTTTCGGCTGACACATTTTATATTTAAAATGCATATTTGAAATGTATCTATAGATGTATGTAATGTATTATAATCTTAAGAATACTTATTGACATTATAAAAGACACATAATGTAATTTGTATCTTGCAAAACTAAGATAATGATAAATTGATCCTTAACTATTTCAATACTTCACTTATTTTTTTATTGCTATGAAGAAATTCTTCTATGGTAGTCACAAAGAAAAAAGAGAAAGATAGACAATCATATATCATCAAGGTCAATACGAAGAAAGAAGTGACGCATAACGAAAAACTACTGTTGCAATACGCATAAAAAACTCATATATAATAAAAATGAGACATATTTAAAAGCTAAAAAGTAGATCTTCGTGATTATCAGCTTATGTCTAGATAAATTTACTTTTATACATGTAAACTATGAAGCTTTTCAAATACATATGATTTTGTAGTACGAGAAGAAATTGATATTATTATATGTTTGTATACACGACAAATATACAGCGAGAGAAAATTTATTTTTATTTTTCCTTTCTCCAACATGCCGTGAAATATAATTGAAACAATTCCTATCGAAGAAACAACAAATGATATATCAAAAGATTATAAAGGAATATATTGGCGACTTTTGTTTCTTAATTTAGTTGTCGTCTAGACATATCAATCATTATTGTCTGCACAAAATTATTATATAAAATATTTTCCTAATGATCATTTAGATTTTTGGTTTCTATAAATATGGATTTACAAAACGTATTATACCCGGTTATATTGGTTATATAATAATGGCTATTTTAGTTATGTCTTGGAAAAATTCAATTGTATTAATAGTTGATTTTGGATTTGTTGGAGATACTTATACATTAACTGAATTTCCTATACGGTGCATAGTCATATCGGTCATGATCAACGTAATGAAAATATTGAACTACATTTTATTAAAAACTCCTTTACTTATTTTAATTTATGTCTTTTTCATAACCTTTTATTATTGAAACATTCAATCTTGAAGATTTAATTGATCGTATATTAGCTATGAAAGTTCATAAATATTTTTATCAATTCTACGAACTTTATTTATTTTAATAATATTATTAGGAATTACAAACGATCTTCTTGCAACTATTACTTTTATGGTTCGTCCGCAAACAATTTTTGGAGTTAATAATTGTGAAAGAGCTGCTTATTTAATGACTACTGCATTATACTTTGGAATTGCAAGTGGATCTATTGTTGCAGCTATTTTAGCAGTAACCCATGTAGTTTAATTTTTTCTATTTTATTGAATATAATGACAAATATTTCTAGTTAAGTTGATCAAATATGAAGGCTAGATACTGTAATAGATTCAATTTGAATCAAAAGTAAACAGATATTTTCTCTAAAAACTTCTGGTCCACTCGTCCTCTGATTATAAACTTTGATATTTTTATTCATCATAATTTTTCAAAAGAAAAATCAAGATTGAATAAAATACAATGAGAGTATTAATTGCAGTATATTCAGTACGAATCCTTTTCATGAATGGCCAATTAGTATTTTATACCATACATTACGCGTCTGTCAGACAAAATTAACTTTCTTTCTTAACAAGCTACCTTAATTATAGATCACTGAATATGAAAGTACATCACGGAGGGAGATCTTTTTCTTATAGAAATGTGATAATAACAAGTTTTTCTATTTAAGTAAAAATATAGAGAATAATTTAGTCAGACTATAACTTTTATTCGCATATCAAAGGTTAAACCAAATGGCTCTCGATATAACTTCAATTTATTCAGCCCTTTTTTTGATTTTATTAACAATCACGATTCCTTCAATCATATGTTCAATTTATATCGTTTATCATTTTATTCGATCTCAAGAACTTCGTAAACGACTTAATAATCATATCATTGTCGTTTTAGTATTATTCAGTTTCATTCAAGTAAGTTATTAAATTATAATATAGATAGAAAATACTTGATTGTTGCTATAAAGGTACTCACAGACATGCCAATAGCATTGATTTTGCTACATACTGGATTTGTCCCTATACAAACAACATCATTCTGTCTTTACTGGTCTGTATATAATTTTTCACAATGTGTAGTTGGTCTTATGCTCATGGCTTATGGATGTATCGAGAGATATTTTCTTGTTTTCGATCGAGTTTTTTTCAAGAAACATTTAATCCTAATTCACTATGGTCCAATAGCCTTCTGTATGATCTATCCATCACTACTTTACATAGGAGTAATTATTATATATCCGTGTCAAAATAATTTTGATTATTCTCAATTTGTTTGCGGCGGTCTATGTTATCAATATGAGGTACGTTTGCTATATGTTCTATTGATCAGAAAGCTCGGCATCTTCCAAGAACTAATACTATATGTAAGATTACATGCATATTACAGAGAATTATTGCTTCTAGTAGATTTAAAAACAGAAGAAAGTAAATTATAAACTAAAACAAAATATTATAATTTTTATTAATAGCCTGGATTAGGTTTATTTGACTGGTTTTGTAATGTATTTGGTCCAATTAATGTGGGTTCTGTTGCAACAATGATACTCATCATTCGTGTAATTCTACAGAAACATCGTATAGGTCAACGTGCTATATGGCAACGCAATCATAAAATGGTAATCCAACTAGCATCTCTTTCTACTATGTATATCGCTGTTTGGATACCCGATATTATATCTTATGTCATTCCAATCATTGTTCCAAATCCACTTGCTCTTGATTTAGCCTCAAATGTGTTTTGTTATTTTGAATATTTAGCTGCTCTACTTTGCCCATTCGTATGTCTCGTTGGACTTCCTGAAGTGCGTCAATCCATACATCAGATATTTATACGATTCAATACTGTACAACCAGCTTCCCAACATCCTGTAGGATTCCTCAGATCTTAATCACAACGTGCATTTAGAAAAATAATCGTATCATTGAATTCTAATGTTATGATTAATAAAAGCTGACATTCCTTTTTTTTCTAAATCTATAATATGATTTATTTTTCTTAAAATAAAATGTGTCTTGAACTATTTTCATGGCAAGAAATTGTCAAATATCAAATTTCTTTCATAAGTAAATATATTCATGATATTAAAATTAGCAAAACACAAATGAGCTATTTACAAAGATAAATATTAACATACGAGAATAGAAAAATATCATACGTGCGTCACTAACATTTCTTTATTTGCTTTGTCATTATGCATCAACGTACTTCAATATATTAATTCAAAACCAGATGAATACGAGAAATAATAGAATTGATTAAAATTAATATGAATATGTGCTTAATATTTCCAAGGAAGTATGTGTTTATAAGCTGTGAGATATAACTGAAGTGAAAATAAAATATATTTGTTTTTTAAAATGGTGTTTTAGGACGATTCTTTAGATATTCAGCAATTCTTGGCTCAGATTTATGTGCTGGCCATTCATGAAATTCATAACGAATATCTTCAAATTTTGACCAGCAGCAGGAAAAATTAAACGAGAGATTTCAGCACGACCACGAGCACTAAAATAATAAAATCGATATATTGACAATCTTCTATTTTAAGTAGAGACAAGCAAGCAGCTGTATTAATAATATGTGAGAGAATAACTCATTGAATATTTTTATTTAATTCAATAGAAGAAAAAAATCGACTTTAGTCAGTATGTATAATTAAATTAAACTATGAACTGTAGTATCTACTAGCATAACAAGTGACGAAGAAATACGTAATCTTTAGTATATGATGGTTGAATTTATTCTATTTCTTCTTGCCATATGTATATTTCAAAAAAAACAAATGATTTGTGGTATGAAAATTTAATCTTTCAGTCCATAATTCCCTGAAATACCAGCTTAAAGAACAGAATTAAAAATTTGTCTTTTCTCAAACTATATTAGAGATCGCGAAATGACAACCAATGGATGTTTGTGTATAAATCAGAATCCTATGCGATTGAATCTTTTTCATAGCTATGTTGGCATCATTCATAATTATTTTAAATAATCACAAGTGTATATGAGTAAGAATTTGTGTTTACTTGTCACATTCACTCAGAGTCAATCATCTTTACATATTCATTACTTTCAATTACAAGATAAATAAAATTTAAAAAAATAAACGCTGGTTCATCTTTCAACTATTAGATAAATGTTTCACTCTACACACTCAATAAAACCATTTGAACGAACTAATTCAATAGCTGATCCAATTTTTAATGTAATTCTATCACTAACACCTGCTTTTTTCCATATATCCTGTCGAACATATTGATCAGTAATATCACATGCAATTAATTGACTATCTGATGGAAGAGCTAATGCAATTGTTAATGCAGTATAATCAGTGAATATTCCAACTTCGACTAAAATTATACTCAGTTCTTATTCTGTATAGTATTTGAAAAAAGAGAAATCTTACTGCATCTTTTACATCCCATGAGTCGAATAATAACTTGAAAAAGTTGCGCCTCATCAAAAGAATCGAGCATTCTCGATATATTTCCTATTGAAAAAACATTTATAATTTTCTTTTGATTAAATAATAAAAAATAACCTGGTCATGAATTTGTATACTCAATGATTTCATTTTGTTCAGATGTTAAACGTAATGAATGTTCTTTAATGTATTGATCAATGGGATCAGATGATCGTTGCATTTTAGTTACCATATTTAGTCTATTCGATCAAAGTATATAGTATGAACTCTAGAAAGAACAATATCAGTTATTTACCTTTTTAAGTTTGATATATGTTTCCAAGATTTGTGAGTGACACTATTAACTGAAAGTTAAAGTGCAAAAGGCGACGTTGTAGTCTTTTTTTATCGGGTATATGAAATAAAGCACGAAAAGAAACGTGAAAATATTGATAATAGTTCATTTTTTGTTTATGGATTGTTTATTTGTGTTGCTGTGAAGCACTTAGAATAATAATACTTAATAACAAAAAATTTAACCTTTTAAGCATCTTTATATTTCGCAATGGCCTTTGTATATTTCAAAGGCTTTATATACGTATAGATAAAAAGATAAATTTTTATTTATAACTACACTCACCTATCAAAAATTTCGCAATCAGCAATATGACAATTTCTGATAGAAGAAATATTTGTGCTCATGGTATTACATTTTATTATATTTCTTCTTATCGGAAATTACATCGATTTCAAATATAAAGCATACGCACTTTTATACCCGCCTGCCAGATAGAACGAAAATACATGAAAATAAAGGATAAAGTATTACACAGTGTATAAATAAGGACTGGATGAAAACATAGATTTTAAGAGAAATCTACCTGAACAGAAAATTACTCACTTCTCTTTTCATTACAAGTACATTTCTACTAACCAATCAATATGTTTTATATTTCGTGTTTTCTTCTATATTTCTATATTTAATTTTGAGACTATTCTTTTATTTTCTTTGGTAAATATTCTAAAAGTATTGAAAGTTTTTATGTTATAATTAAAAATAATACCAGGCTAGTTGATACATTCGCTTATTAAACTAAGTTAACTTTCAAATCGCAAGATTTCGACGAGTGCATCTTTCCTAAGTATTGACTGTATTTCAATCGATCGATGAGATCCAAACTGAAGATGTCGAATGTGTTTTGTGAGTCCTGTTGTGAGTAATCTCTCAATAACATCATATTTACATCCCTCACAATTCAAATGTAATAAATTAAGTTCATTTTTGCTTGATGAACTCATTTTTTTTCAGTATTTTAAATTCAAAAACAACTTCTACAATATCTCGAATAATGAGTTTATAGTATTTGTCTGACGTTGATTGTGCATGATCAGTGAAAGATAAACTTTGTCCTTGAGAGAAATTCTTTCCAGTAACATTAACAACATAGGATCGATTCGATGGTCCAAATGGTTATACATGATATAATGATGAACGATCACTTGTCAAAAGATTTCGTATACGAGAGCAATGTATTAATTCTTCGTAAAATAGAAGTACATATGCAAGTACAAAATGAAGACCATCAGTTCCAGCTATGTTAGCTCCACAATAGATAATCGTACATGTCTTGTTTGGTAAATCTAATGGTCGAAATTGTTCTTCTTCATTCTAGTACCATGATCTGTTTATTGTTCATACTTATTCGACGAAATCATACAAAGAATAAGCTAATACTTATCAAGATTAATAATAGATATTTAATGAACATCATATTATTTCGAGTCATCTGAAAATAAAATGTTTTTAAATTAATAGAATTCACATTAGATATCAAACAATAAGTAATACACGAAAAGGAAATACATCTGTAATTTATTACATATATTTTCAGAAGTGTCTTGAGTTGAAAGCATTGTGTTCATCTGTAAATATGAAATCATGTAAAAGATAAAGATATATTTAGTTCATTTGACTCACCTGTTATATAATATTTCTAGAATCATTGCAAATATTTTCAAAAGGTATGATAACTTCAGATAAATTCTGATGTTGACAAGTCATAGAAAAAGCCAATCTTTGTTTCTCAGCTTGATTTGCTAGTAATGGTCCGAAAGCAAACCATACATCACCACAAGACGTACGAAATGAAAGCATCATATTGATTCGATGAGGATATGTAAGTGCAATTGCATTCATTAAATACTGATCTTTTCCAATGAAAAAATTCTTTGAAATATAATTATTAATAGTTTCATAGTACATTGATGTCCACCAGTGAATAACATCACTCGTACCACCAATTACAGTACCTTCAATAAGATCATCTTGAATGGGATCTTTGTTTACAGTATATGATAGTGGACAAAACTGACGAGAAAGTGGAGAAATCATGCCGAGAAGAAGTCTGTTATTAGCAAGTATTGAATGAATTGAAGGTTCGTATGGCCACCGTTCAAAACGATAATTAGAAGATCGAAAAGCTCCAGCATCCATATAGAGAAAATATTTTGTTTGAAAAGGATTAAGTTCGACACTTTGATTGAGTATAAAAGATTTAGCACACCATACAGCATACAATTCAACAGAATGATATGCACGTTCAGGATCAGTGAGATATTGTTGCTCAAAGATAGGAACAAGTTTTTTTACTGGTGGCATTTCAAGCGATGAATTATATTCCACAATAAAATGAGTTCTTAATGAATTATTCCGACGAAGTTGTTGTAGAATGGGTTGATATTCAATTGATGTATATATAATCATAGGTGATTGACAAAATCCTAATAGATTTTCAAGCCATGATTGATACTCAGCTTTACTATGTTTAGATTTACTCAATGGAAAATATGCTATTACAACAGTTGTTGAATATTGTTCATTATTGTTCAATAAAGGATATCTTGTATAATTGGATCTACGAATTGACAACAAAAATGAATTTGATTGATTAATAGGCAAGATTAAGGCGATGCTAATAATAAGTAGTATAAAAATACATAATTGTCGATAATAAGTTATTTTAAATGTCATCTAAAACAGATAATAAATTAAAATATATTTATTATTTGATAGAATATTTTAATTTGTATTATTTAAAAATTTAAACCATGATGGAAAATAATCATCTGCTCGACAATTAGAATCAATAGGAGTATGATCCGATTTTGAATCTGTTAATACATCACCTAATCTATTATCTGAGAGAAACGCTCCCCACCATCCAAATGTTCCTGCAGTAAGAATAGTATGTTCACATAGGGTCAATGTAGCCAAATCATTAGCAACACTAAATGAATCAGGTGTCACTAATACATTTTTCTTCTTTGTTAGATCTCTTTTCTGTTAAATAGTTTATTTGATAAGTAACGAGTTTAACAACTAACTAATTCACACACACTCTCACGTAAAACATAATCTCTATATATATATAGACTAGCTGGATATTTCCCATGTCATCTTATGGAAAAATACCTGAGTTATATATATAAGAAACTTAACTAGGAAAATACCAAAAGAGACATATCGAGGACACGCAACAGAACGAAAGAAAATCACATATATAGAAAAGAAAAAAAAGAATATATATATGGGATAATTCCTTGTAAATGTAATAAGGAATATTCCATAACA